ATTTTTTTCTATTTAATAATATTTATTTCAAACTTGCAAGTTGAGTTAAAAGTTATGGTAATAAATTCATTTTTTTTTTATTAAAACTTTCACTTTAAAGAACAAAAAGAAGTAGGTTCAAAATGATTACTTTTAACATATTAAAAATCAATAATAATTTGAAAATAATTAATTATAAAAATTATATAATATATAATTAAAATAATTACTAATCTGGATATAATTAAGGAAATAGGAGTTGATGTTGGGTTGGGTTGGTTACATTTTTAACTTTATAATGCTATAACTCATTGAAAAGTGTACGAATCAACACAATTTTTTTATGAGAAATAATATTTTTTAATAATCCCTTTTTCATTCGACATACTTTATCTTAATCAGGGTATTAATAAGAAACTAGCAGATAATGTAGCTTTTGTAATTATCCACCAATTTCTTAGAATTAAACACTATCTACTGATTTGCATCGAAGCGTTTCTTATGATAGTGATTTTAATCACTGTCAGATTAAATCTATACTGGACCCAACTATGCAACATCCCCACTATGCCGCGACCCCACTGTGCTGGGTTTTTTTACTTAAAATTGCCATAACTTTTTTAAAAATGACCGAATCAATATAATTTTTTTTTTATAGATACCTTAGGTATTCACCTATCATTTTATATATTTTTTGTTAACATTTGACCCTTTACAAACCCACAGGGGGGGATTAAAAATGACAACCTTTTCAACTAAACTTTTGAAAATGTTCCGGAAGGTCTGACACTTTTATATATATCTTAAATTAAAGCTAATGTAATATACTTTAATTTGAAAAAAAAAAATTTGACCTCTGGACTTGTCTTCATGGTGAAAATGACGACCGTATGCAAAAATATGCTTGTGCAATGCCGGCTATATTTTCTTTAGTATCGGCAATTTGCGATTTTGTAACCTTTTTGTTTGTTTAATAAATACGATTGACCATACGTATTTTTGGGCATGCCTTAGCGGAAGGAAAGGAAAATATAAAATTGTGGAAATTGAGCCTTACAATATACTATAGATAGAAAGAAAAACAACATATATATATAAACACAATATGATATTTCCGTTATGATAGAAAAATAACAAACAACAATAGCCAATGATAAATGAAATTAGCACTAATTACTAATAAAATAAATAACATATATCCTCTTTTTATAACTAATAATATAATAATAATATAATTTATAACAAATAATAAAATATTATGTGGACTGTAAATCCGTTAAAATAAGCAATTAAAAATTCTTAATAATTACCCACTGCCGTTTGAAGGTGATGAACACTGTAACATTTCAGATGCAGGGAAAGCAACAAAAAAACATCGTAACATATAAACAATCCGTTAAGCAACTCAAATTGAATATTGTGGCGACAAGGCAATACTCTACCCAAAAAAAACCTGGTGTCGATATAACCGAAACGGCCGACTAATTGATCGCGAATGAATTCTTCACGACCACTGCCACACACACAGGGACCGGTCTAAACAGCAGCGCCGTCGTACCGTTACGAAGGTGGTGGTTTTTTAGTGGGAAAAAAACATTGAAGGTCGCGGCGTATATTATATAAAAAACGCGGAATCTCCGGAATACTAGACGGCTACAGAAAAAAAGATAAAAAGATAAAAAGATTTTTGTTGATTAAGAAAATTAAGAGGACTTTATTAAATTATTAGTTAAGTTAATAGTGGACAAAACCCGAAGGCAAAAACCACTCTGCAAATGAAGGCACAAAAGAGAAAGAAAAAAAAAACAATTATTAAGACAAAAAAAATTTTAACCTACAACTTTTAAATATTACACATGTAGTGTCTTCCGCATCGGAACAAGTCCGTGTACTCCGGACGCGGCGGATAATTTCTGTAATCTGGCCGGTCGAACCGTAATTGGACACTGCGGGAATAATATATATATATATGTATTAAATATACATGACACACCACTGACCAATAACCTTATAAACAGCAATGCTAAAGTCCATAACAAAATAAATTTACAACAGAAAAAGGCTCTATACATTATATTAAATAAAAATAAAAAAACGATATACGATACCCAGTCCCGGATGGGACTCAGCCTAAGATGGGGATCTCGGCCCCGGACATGGCCGACGCCTGGTTAAATTAGTGCATTATTATAATGAACGACACACACGAAAAAAACTATTATTGACTGCACGCACACAGCCACTATATACCACAACGGTGGTTCAAAGAGAAGAGAACACAACTTTTTCCTACACACCGGGCGAGACATAACGACGACGACGATTACGTTAGGGAGAGGGTATCGACTTAACGATTTACAAAATATAAAACAGATAAAAATATGAACAATATTAAAATTATACAGGTATTGACAGTGGTGACTAGTGTATGTGTCATATAGGGAACGATTATTAAACTGATAAAGAATATTGTGTGTATAGCGTTCACCTTGACAGCAACAGTACAGTTTTCTGATTACACGACCGGATATAACGTACGCGCGCCCATTAGCAAAGCAAAACAGTAAATCTATCTATATCATAAAATTCATATTTTATCACATTACAGAAACCCCCCGAGAAGATTTGACGTAGAACGACAAAACTTCTCAAGAGATTGAACTGACAAAAATGAAATTCAAAAGAAAAGACAAAAAAAATTTTAAGATGCAGACTTATTGATTAGGATCTCTGTACTTCCGCAAAAAGATGATATTATATGTTCCCTTAATCTTCCCATTATCAGGATCTTGGAGGACATATGAATTAGTATTTTTGACATCTACAATAATATATGGACCATCATATAATATAAAAAATTTACTGATTATTTTGTCAGCACCTGAACTTAATTTGTGTGATCGCACCAACACAGTATCTCCGATATTAAAAGTAGTGTGTGGACCTATGCGGTCATGACGTTGTTTTCGAGCAAATGCTTTGCTCTTTTGAAATTCACGTGCTATCTCAAACTTTGTTTCGAGCTGAATATCACTACCTGTTGGAAAATCTACTATAGTTTGAATCAATGACTGATGTTTCTCCGGAAAGAAAAGTTCGATTGGAGTAAAACTAGTGGACTCGTGAATGGTATTATTCAAAACCCACTCGATATATGAAACGTAGCGAGGCCATTCAGCATGATACTCAGAACAATAAGTACGAAACAAACGTCCTAGTTCTCTCATCACCCGTTCGGTTGGATTTGACTGTGGGTGATAAACACTAGTCAATGTAGGTGGAATTCCAAGCATCGATAACTTAGACTGCCAAACTTTACTAATAAATTGTTTGCCATGATCAGAGACTATAATTTTCGGTTTACCCCAATCCGGTATATAATTATTAATTATTCGATTGATTGTGGCAACACCAGTAGCTTTTTTTAATGGATATAATTGAACAAATCGAGAAAAGTGATCCATTACCACAAACAAATAAGATACTCTATTCCAACCAGCAGGCAATGGCCCATACAAATCAACAAACACACAATCATTTGGAGCATTGTATTGAATATTTTTAATAAGTCCTTTGACTCGACAAGTTTGAGGTTTTGCTCGTTGACACAAATCACAAGAAGACCATATAATTCATGGAAATTGATAATTGTAGAATTAATATTTGACATAGGTAAGCATATTAACCAATTTCCCGTGGATTGAGATTTACGACGAAATAATATATTATTGTACAACTTATAGCATTTAGATAATTCAAGATCAGAACACGAATAGACAGTTTGTTAATGATCGAAATTAATTTTGGATCTGATCGTTGATCAACTTCAACCGACGAAAAAATATTTACAATAGATACTGGTAATCTAGGAGGAGTTTCAATTTTAATGGCCATCAGTCTAGGCATGGGTTCTTCAATAACTTCATCTCGGCCGACTGGACTACGAGAAAGCGCATCTATGACGTTCTGTTCTCCCGGACAATGACATATATAGAGGTCATATTCTTGTAATAGCAACGTCCAGCGAGTAAGACGGGCATTACGTAACCGACACTTAAATAGAAATACCAAGGCTTGGTGATCAGTTATGACATTTACATGGTGACCCAGTAAACAAACTCGAAACTTTGAACAGGCAAAAACAATGGAGAGTAATTCCATTTCAGTAATTGAATAATTTTTTTCTGCAGAATTGAGCAAGCGGCTAGCAAAAGCAATTGTACTACGACAACCAGACGAATCAATTTGAAAAAATTCAACTCCTAAACCAAGTTTGGAAGCGTCTGTTTGTATACAAAAATCAGCATTCAAATCTGGATGTACTAAAATAACATTAACAAATGAAGACTTAATAAGTTCAAACTGTTTTTTATTTTCTTCGGTGAATTTCCAAGTTGGTAATGACAACAATTCAATTAATGGGCTCATCAGAGACGCATGGTGGTCTAAAAATTTCCGATAAAAATTACAAAAGCCTATAAAGGATTGTAAGTCTTTTTTATTGCGTGGATTCGGATAATTTTGCACAGCTTCTAATTTACTATTGTCCATGGTCAGACCTTGAGGAGTAATAATATGTCCCAGGAATTTAATTTCTTCTTTGAAGAACTTGCACTTTGATATTTTAAGGGTCATTCCAGATTTAAGTATGTTTTCAAATAACTCTGACAAACACTGCAGGTGATCATCAAAAGACACAGTAGAGATAAGTACATCATCTACATAGGTTTGAATATTATTGATATGTTCTGAAGTAGAATTAAATGAATAACTGGCAAGGGAAGCTTCCAAAGCTTTACCAAAAGCAGTATTTGATATATTCAGACCAAATGGTACACGCGTAAATGAATATGTACGACCATTATATACAAAGGACACATATTTCCGTACCGTCGGATGAAGTCCAACTTGCCAATAACCACATGAAAAATCAATAGATAAAAAAAACTTTTTCCCAAAAAATCTTGCCAATATCTCGTCCAAAGGTGGAGAAGAATCTCTCATTGGGACTATAATAGCATTTATACGGCGAGCACCTAAACAAAGTCTAACCTATCCATCTGGTTTTTTCACACATATGATCGGGCTGGCATAAGGTGACGAACTGCGTTCAATCACCCCCCATTCCAACATACGATTTAATTCTTTCTCGACCGCTGGACGCTGTGAGAACGGTATTGGATACGGCTTCATCTTAAAAGGCTCATCTTTAATAACATCAAAACGACACGTATACAAATTGTTTAGCCCAGGTCTGTCGTTAAAAACAGCCCGATAGGTAAACAACATTTCAGACAATTTGGCTTTGTGCTCAGCACTTAAATTTATTATAAATTCAACCTGGTAACGGATATCGTCCATTACAGGGTTGATTAAGTCAGTCATATGATACATGCAAATGGGATTCTCCGTAGAAGGAGAAACCACAGACACCCTTTGAGTCACTGACACTGACTGGTCAGGCTCAGACATATATACAGAAACTGGAGAAGCATGCAATTTAATTTAGGATAATTTTAAATCATTATCATCACTAGAATTAGAAAAAAATGGCACCTTAATGCCTAGTAAAGAAAATTTAATCAAATTGCTAGAATAATCTAACAAGACAAGATATTTGTGAAGGAGATCTTCACCAATAATAAAAGGTACCGATAGCTGCGGTACAACAAGAAAAATACCTTCAATGGGGCAATCAGAAATAAATAAAGACAAAAGAACTTGAGTGTGAACTTTCTTGCTACGACCACCGACAGCCGTGGAGATGGTAACTCCCGTGACAGGTAATTGAGGTAATAATTTTACATCATCAACAGTTTCACATAACTGTTGAAAAACTTTCTCTGAAATAGCAGAACATGTAGCACCTGTATCTAGAAGAGCGCGATAATTTAAATTAAATATTTTAATATTAATTTCCGGTGAAGAAAAACAAGAAGAATTGTTATTATAATTATTATTATTAAGAAGATTCACACTCGAGTCTGAAGGACATTCGACAGTGCGACGAAGCGAACGACTAGGAGTCGAAAAACCTAGACGCCCGGCTCCCCGTTTCCCGGAGAAGGACCTGGTGAACTTTGGTTTCGACTTCTATCGTTGCCACGTCCACGATTATTTTCAAACCGACGATTGTTGTTGTTGTTGAAATGACGACGATAGTTGACATTCTCCGGCCTTTGTTCGACTTCAACATTTGATTCATTTGATAACCCACGCGTATTATTATTTCCAGTAGTTGAATGGAATGAAGGTGAATTGTCAAATTCTGATAAGACAGCCAAGAGTTCTGATGTAGTATTTGGGCCACGTCCCTTAAGTGCAGTACATATATGTTCGTTAAAATGTTGGCAAATAACTTTAACTAAACGCGAAGGTGATATTGGAGGATCCAAGAAACGAGCTTTGGCAATCCATTACATAGCATGTATGGAGAGTCCCGTGTTTGACAAATAACGGTATGGGCGTATAACCTCATCATGTACTCGATCTTGAATAGCCTCAGACCAAAACTGGGAACGGAATATGACTTTAAATTCATCATATGACTGTGGTGATGGAATTAATGCATCATACCAAAGTCTTGAAGTACGAACTAATCTTCGCTGGATACTATTAATCTTTTGTTGTTCAGTACAAATAATATTTTCAAAATATGAGTCAACTTGACTCAAAAATAACTCAGGGTGAATATCATTCACATGACCAGAAAATTCAGGTATAACATCATTAAACTTTTCAGAAAGCATAGACACAGATAAACGGCTATTCTCAAAATNACTTTTCAGAAAGCATAGAAACAGACAAACGGCTATTTTCAAAATTAGATGTGTGGTTTAAATTAATGGGTAAATGAGTAGACGATGTGATAGGTGCTGGAGTAATAAAAGATGTAGGAGCAACTGTTGAGTTAGTTGGTATACATGTTATTTTTGACACTTTTTGTAGTTCAGCGCTCAAATGTTGTACTTTCGATTGAAGAGCATTATGGTCTAAACGAAGCTGATCCATCGCATTACTACTTTGCTTTTGAAATTCTTCTAAGAAAGTACTGCGGGTATCCAAAATACAAAGAGAGTCTTCGTTAGACGATACTTTTTCTTCCAACATACCAATCTGTTCAACAAGACTATCGTGACGTTCTGCGCAAACTTTCTCCCTCTCGAACAATTTAGACTGAAGAAGATCTTTTTGGATATCTAAGCTATTTTTGAATTTCAGTAAATAGCTTTCTATTATGGTCATTAGTCCTTTTAGTATCTTCATCTCTAGCTTTCATTCCCTTGAGAAGTTCAGATAACATTCCACCCATTTAAGATAAACTAATCTCTCTCTTCTTATCAGTCACTTCCTTGGCTTTAAGAGTATCCCGTAACTGCTGATTACTTTTATCACTTCTCTCATTCTTTTCATGAGCAGGAGATGAAGGAGGATCTATGCCCAGACGATCTGGAGGTTGAGTAGGACGCTTGCCAGCTCCTTCCGCCATGATGAAAATAAATAGAATAAAATAAATCAAAAAAACGCATTTGTGTAAACAAACGCTAATCAAATATGAAATTAATAGTCGTAGACAGTAGGTCTAAGTACCTTACTAGTTACAACAAGAAAAAAAACAAAACAAATCATAATAAAGAATCAAAATTCTTTTATTAATTGAAGAAACAATTTAATTAATTCAAATGAAAAATTTGAATATGATCAAATAAATTAGAAAAGTCAAATAAGACGAAAAGAAAAAAAATATCAATCAATGTTGATTATCACAACAAATTTGCTTCGGTTTTATTAACAATAGCCCGTAGGTATTATTAAACGCAGATAGGGTGGAGGTGGGCTTGAGTCGTAACAGATATTCGATCAAGCGAGCGTGCCCTATACAACGAGTCGTAATAAAACCTAATCAAATAATGATTGTGCTGAATATAAAAGAAAAATTTAGTAATTAGGGTTATATCCACAATCACTTAGATTTATAAAGAACTGATAAGATGGCAACACCAAATTAAAAATAAATTAGGGCTTTAGCTGATTATGCTGTTCAGCACAAAAGAATAATGCACAAGGAAATAAAACTTTGGTTTTATAAAACCAAGATAGTGCAAACGCAGAAAATTCAAAGACGCAAATAGCGCGGAATTTAAAGTTTCCAAACTTTAAATATATATAGAGATGGCTATGGCCTGCCAAGACCGAAATCACCAGGTATCGAATTTAAATTAAACAAATAAAAAAAAAATGTAAGAGCCTTAACTATCACATTTATCAAAATAATTGTTAATTTTCTAAAAAGCAAAATTAACGAAAAAAATAAAATACCATCAAATGAAAAACATGCACTAAGACAAACTGCAGCAGTAAACATATGGGCGCGCAACGAAAATATCGGCTGTGTCTCTTGACACGAAGTAGGCCGATGTAGAAGATATAAATAATAAAATTGGTTCATGTCCGAATATGGACA